GGGGGTGGTCTGTCCTCCCTACCTTTGCTCATCACAACCCTCTTCCTTCTCTTGTCCCTAAAAGACCCTCCACCCAGCCTCCTCCTCACCATCACCTCCTCTCCAACTTGAAAGTGTCGAGGCCCAGGTGGCTTGATAGGCAAATGATTGGGTGAGTAACTGTTGCAAAAAAAAACCTGAACACCCCTCCCCTCCCTTCTCAGACCCCCATCACCCCCCTAACTGCTCACTGACTCTAGCGGGGGGAGTCTAAGGGGGGATAATCAGGGTCAGGATCCTCTGCCACACTGATCAGTACGTCTCAACCCCCGGGCAGCCCTGCAATTAATGCACCGTTGAAAGGGAGTGAAAATATTCACCATCTGGCAATTAGGGCTCATAGGCTCCCTCTTTCTGTCTCTCCTCCTCTTCTTTCCCTCTCTGGGCTTTAAATGTAATTGTGATCTTATTCTTGTTCCAGCTCCAGTGCCTCGCACTGGCCCAAGGCCCATTTGCCGCTCTGAGGGTCTATATAGGAATGAACGAACGCAGGAGCGCAATCCAGGGCAATTCAGAAACCCCTCTCAGTCCCAAAATGGAGACGTAATAACGACCCTTCTTGTCATTTTTCACCCCCACCTCCTCACTATGTGGAGGATTCATCCCATCTCTTGCTCTTCCAGCCCCAGCTGCTGCTGGCCTGAAAAGGGGCTTGAAAGAGACTGGTGTCATCATGATCAAATTAACTCTTTCTCTCTGGATGGGAGCAAAGGTTGTCAATGGTACTGTCGTCTGTAGTCGTTTTTTTTTAACACTTTCAATGATGTTATGATTAGTCCTTTTGCTGCCGACAATGGCCGCCAAATGCGCGTGAATGCCCTTTCCCGTCAAAGAGGAGCGGAGGGCTGTTGAAAGACATTGATTTTGAGAGGAGTCAGGAATCTTTCCAGTTTTTTGTCTCCCTCCTCCTGCACACACTCATTGTGAAATTCAAACCTAGGGATGACAAATAGAGTGATTACGCTCACCATTGATCTGGCTAGATTTGAGTTGCAAATGTGCAACCTCGAGATTTGGCTAGTGCGAACCAAGGTCTCAGAGACAATGCAGAAGCAAATTTGAGGAAGTAGTAGGTCGCAGATACCACACACAGACAGCAGAGAGAGATGCTGCTCACACAAGCTGTGCATGTCACAACCGAGGCCAAGAGGCTTTCCCATTAATCAAGAAATGTATTTGTTGTATTATCAGGACATAAGGATGTTCAAACTGTTAAGTTAAAAGAGGACCAAAAAACAAACTCCCTTTTTCCTTCATGTCTCTCATGTAAGGTCAGCGTTTGTCGACTTTCCTTGATCTGCTGACCTCAATGTCTCTCGTTTTTAATTGCAGCACCACGATCCCTACAGCAAGCCGCCGCCATTGTGCTTTCCTGTAAAGCGATAATTACTCATATTGAATTATTAACAGTCATTATCAAAGACTTGTGCTTA